CAATAATGATCCAAAGATGTCAGAATAGTTCAGACGTTCCCTATGATATTGCCTTGGGAAAAAAAAGCTTACTTAACCCTTTTGAGTGGTCTCTACGCAGTAAAGTAATGTTATTTTGTCGCTGCAACATTCAGCTCTGACATATCGGTTTTAACAGTAACTGTTCTATTCGCCTATGAAGAAGGATTCGACTCTCACATTGGATAATCACAGACAGCTCCATCACACTCTTATTTTTGACCTGGAAAGGTTTTTTTGGGGGTGTTAGTTAAATATTACTCCTGTTTGCTCTAGAATAAGATTTGGGTATCATAATAATTGTAACATGGTGAAATTGTTTGAGTTGAATCCTTACATGGCTACACCGATAATTTGCAGTTCCAGTGTTTCTGAATTATTATTAGAATTTTTCTGCGACTAAAATACTTTGCGCTGGACTTGAAGGGATTACTTTATTATTTACTTAGCTGGGAGGTCATCCTAATCAATCTCAAGTTCCAGCTTGTGGAATGGTGGGGAGAGAGAAAAAGAAAGAAACAACAACAACTTGCATTTATTTAACCCCCCTTTCACACAGGGAAGCAGAGCGCTTAAAAATAAAGCCACTTGCTTAAGAAAGAGTGCACGAGTGTGGGTTGGCAAATGCCAAGACATTGGAAAACCCGATGAGCGCAATTGGGAGAGCACTGCTGGTATTTAACATGCTAAATGATAATAATAATCCTTGCATTTGGTATAGCACCTTATCATGTCTTCGCGATGCCTCAGTGCACTTCACAGATTATACTGTAAAATACTGTGTATTTTGTGGATGAAATGCGGCAGCCAATTGCGCACAGCAATGTCCCACATACGGAATTCATCCTTCAGTGATGCGCCCATCTTCTAAGTCTTGAGTCTAACAGACAAGTCGATCAATAATAATCATTTAATAATCCTTATATTTGATATAACAACTTTCACAGTGGGAGGATGTCTCAAAGCGCTTCACAAGCATACTGTAAAGTATACTGTCTGTGTATTTTGGAGGCAAACATGATAGCCAGTTTTGCATACAGCAATGTCGCACAGTCAACCAATTGGGAAACAATGGATCTGCCTGTGTCAGGTATTGGATTACTGAACCCCCCCCTGGAATTTGAGAAGCTAAATCCATAGCATTTACAAGTATAAGGCACTGCAGCTCCATCGTAGCCCTACTCTCTCTTCACCTGAGATGTCATCTCGGAGCCAGTCTGACCATAAAACTAATTCAATACCAGAGAGAGACCTCACTTACCTTTCCTCTACCTTATAATGCAGAGCTCAGAGTTTTTACGAGAGAAATACTATAGTTTAATGGATACCATTTCAGCATATTTTCACTTATAATAATAATAATCCTTGCATTTGATATAGCGCTTTCCATACTATGATTAAATAACAGATTAGTAAACTAATGGTTATGATTTTGGAATAAGAAAAAGACACCAGAGTATAGGATCAATTCCTGTCCAAGCGTGTGCTTTACTCCAATTGTTATTAGTATTAGATGTATATTTAAGTCTGCAGTACCATGAGCCCTTCTGTTATACATCAAGTTATCAGAAAAAAATCTGTGAAATGTATATCACTAATCCATTTAATAAGTCGGTAATGTATCTACTGTTTACTATAGCTTGATGTGAAGTATTTACTCAAATATCTAGTATGTTTAGAGAGGACAAATCCTTCAAGGATGTAGGGATATTAAAAGCCTAGCTTATCAAATACTTGAATTACTTTTGACATTGTAGCACTCCTGTTATGTAACTGAGAAAAGCTCAATCATATTTGTAGGCCAGCAGGGTCACCTTGAATATTATACTGTACTAAGCTTGGAGCTGCCCTGTTGGTCCTGTAAAGGTATCACCTTTGCAACACTAAACCACAGAGACCAAAATAAATCTCGGGTTCAATTTACAGTTTGTCTTCAGTTAAGTCAATCTCAAGCAGGACAGCAGTTGGGTGGTTTAATGGGCCTTTGGGTAATGAAGGAAAAAATAAGTCAGGATTCTCTTTGCTGATGGGTTTGTCTCTGCTGAAAAGTTTATTTGGGTGCATATCAGCAGATGACGACAGGATTGGGTTTGGCTGTTATGTCTTCCTTAGTTGAATAGAAGCTGACATTCGCTGTCCTGGCTCACGCAAGTAAAAAATGGCCACTTGGCTAAAGTGAAGATGTGTGTCCATAGAATTATACTCAAAGTATTACACTAATGCAAGAAAAAATGGAAGGCTTACAAAGTGGAAATCCAGCAGGTAATTGGAGTTGAGGTACAGATCAGCTATGGTCTTATAGAATGACGGAACAGGCTCGAGGGGTTGAATGGCCTACTCCATTTTCTATGTACTCCAGTATAAGAGTAAATTCTTCATCTTGTGCTGTTTTAACCAGGTCAAGGGTGCATCCAGTATGTAGTGGATCAATTGTATCAATGATCAAGCAAATAACAATCCATTCTGTGATACACTTTCTATTTAATAAAAGCTACATCTATTCCATTTCCAGTGAGATCATAACGGCTGTTCATCTGTCCCTACATAGATAGAGGCACTTATTTTAATTATTTTAAGACTTTAGTCTTTTGGAATACATTTAGGGTATCAGCCTGGCTCAATTGATAAATAAGCACTCTCGACTCTGAGTCTGAGTCACAAAATCACAAGATTAGTTTGAGTGAAGAAGGGCCTTTGGCCATTCTGTACAGAAGTGTTGAAGGTTTAAGCTTTACATTGAGACTTTGAGTTCCTAGTGTAGACTGACACTGCATTGCAATGTTGGAGGAGAGTTGCCTTGTTGGAAGTGACATCCTTCAAAGTTTATCTGATGCCCTGTTTGCCTAGTCGGGTGGTCTTTAAGATCCCATGCCACTATTCAAAAAGAAGACAGAGTTGCTCCTGGTAGCATGGGCAGTTTATGGGATATTGCTGATCACAATAGGCAGCTGCATCTGACTACAAATATAGCCACTGCAATTTACAATAAATCTGTGAAGCATTTTGACGACCTGAAAAAACACTATCTAATGCAAGGATTATAGGATTACTTAGTTCACCCTATCCCAAAGCATAATATCCATGGGTTTTGGGTGAAATTTGTGTAGGTTAATACGATACAATTTACATTTATATAGCACCATTCACGTTGCTAGGATGACTCAGATTGCTTAGCAATAAACCTATATTAAGATTGATGTTTAGATGTTCTATGTAAATGTATAGGTTAGAAAGTTGAAGCCATTGAATACAAACAAATTCATGAGTATTATCACTCCTAAAAATTTCTAACCCCAAATTATGGATGCATCTGTGCATGTTTTAACAAACATCTTAACATTTATTATCTAGTTTCTGTTAATTCTTTACCTTAATAACAATTACTCTATACAAATTAACAACTTTAGTTTGAATGGAGATGCATAGCAATATGAGACAACAAGTATACTTTTGTTTTAAGATATCTTGTGATTACTGATTCATGTTGGTCTTCCCAAAAAAAACTATAATTGGGCGTTTATTCCATTTTAAATAATACGATAATCCAAGCGAACAACAAGTCATGTGAGGTTTACGAAACCAGTTAGTTAAAATAGAAATTTAACTTAAGCACATTTATACAGTATTTTGAGCTGGAAGATATTTACACCATAACTTTTTTTGCCAATTTACTTCCCATTTTCTTTCTCTGGAATATCCTATAGTTTCCTGAGCACCAAGTGCTCTCTGGTACCTTATCTCTGATACTATGCCAGTGCTCTGAGGTGCTATCCTGCGTGAATTGCGCTAAATAAATACAAGTTGTTGTTGTCCAAGTGGTCATCATTCCTGTGGTATTTCAGTACTAACATCCTTCAACCTTAGCACAAAGATTCATAAAATAGGAGGTGCGTGCCTACTATTCATGAACATAATAGTGATTAAACTTTTTAGCACAATGCAAAAAATCTCAGTCTGGTAAAAGGTTTACTTATTATGAATTTATCTTTAAATGCTGCTTTGTTTCTGTTAGATACTATGAGTAATTTATGCATTTACCAAAATTAGGAAAACTTTGAAGGATGTCCTGGACAATAATCCCCCAAATAAAATTGATCCTTTGTTTCATGGCTGTTTGTGAGACTTTGCTGTAGGCAAATGGGCCACTGCATTCTTCTACAAACATACAGTTGCTCCATTTCCCAACATGAATGGTGTTATGTCAGATGCAAAAATTATTATTATTTATCATTATAAAATAGGGTTGTGGATATGCCGTATTTTGTTCCACCAAGGTCCCATCCACCTGTTCAGGTGGACAACAACAAATTGCATTTATATATCACCTTGGGACGTCCTCCTGATGTGAAAGATGCTATAAAGATGCAATTTGTTATTGTTAAAGATCCCAAGGCACTATTCAAAAACAGAAAGGGATTTCTATCAGTGTCCTTGCCAACAGACGAAATTGGTCATTCCCTTCATGGCTATTTGTGGGATGTTGCTGTATGTGCAAATGAGCTACCGTGTTCTCCTACAAACATGCAGTCGCTCTGGGACACTATCCTGCATGAGGTGTGCTATATAAATGCAAGTTATATATTATGTAAATTGGCTATTATATAACGTATAATAAGTACACGTTACAGTAATTCCTGTGAATTGCTTTGAGATGTCCTCCTGATGTAAAACACAAGGATTATTATTAAAATTATTCCTGAGCCACATATTTTACTGGCAGTAAGACATTATTGTCCACAAATGAAATGTTTAGGTTTGGGGCTTCAAAACTTAAAAATATAGGGGACATTGTTTTTTAAAAAATGTTAATTATCAGTTTGCATTGACGATTGTTGCATTGAATATTTTTCTAGGACCTAAAAGAACTAAAGATGAAAATCAAGCCGTTTAATGAAGTTTCCTTATCACATTTTTTTAGTAATGCTTTCCAAATCTTAACCATTTAAATTGGGTACAAATGATTGGATAGTGCATCGTGCATAATGGAAGGCACTCATATTACACAGCAGTTATATCAACCTATCAAAGAAATCTGTTTTATAAGCTTCTACTGCCTTGGAGGAAAAGTCAAATGGATACCGTACACATGCAATACTTTACCGCACAGATCCACGAAGCATTTTCCTGAGTACTGTCAAGTAAAGGAGGAGCCAGGAACTGCTAAACAGAGAGGCTTGTATTATGACAACACTGCGTATATTCAGAAGCAACGTTCCACAACTAACGCAGTTACAGAGCCTTGTGCTGTGTTGCTCTGTTTTGTTGAAAAGCAACCAGAATTTACTGATGTGTTTACTAAAAGGTCAGAATCCACTCAAAGCCTGAACATGGGAAATCAGGATGGAAAACTTCTGGAGGTGCCAGAGACTGGAAGTAAACACGGTGAATATGATGTGGATTCTAGTGCATCAGATCTGCAGAATTCGCTGTCAATAACTTCTGAACATAAGAAAAGTGATGGTAAACTCAAAAGGCTGAAAAAACTTGCAAAAAGAAGAGAGTGTACCGAAGAGTCTTTACACAAAAATGCAAAAAGTAAATTGTTTGTCGAAGCAGAATTTTCTTCTGTCAGCATTGCTAAAGAAGTACCCCAGGGGAGAGAGCAGAGGATGTGCATGAAAAACTCTGAAAGCAGCTCAACTGATTCATTTAATTACAGTAAAAGCATAACACTCCAACCAGACATAGTTGGCATCAGCTTGCTACCTGAAACAGAAGGGGAAAAATCACATCTACCAAGAAACCATTTGGATTTTCAGGAAGCCTCAACAATGCGTTTTTTGTCTGAGCAAGGCAACGACATGAATGAATATAGCACTGATGATATAGTGACTGTTAATCACCGATTATTGGATAATATAGAAGACGCCCTCAAACACCTGCATGAGAAAAATGGGAATGTCTTGCATGGAAAGAATTCAAATGAGAGTTTACCTGACGCGAGCAGCAGCATCATGTCTATCACCAATTTAGCTTCAGATCACAACGTGCATCAATGCGGAGACAGAACAATCAATGAGGAAACAGTGGTCACAGTAGTTGCCAAAATGCAGGTTGCACCTGCAGTTGTGCAAAGTGTTGTACGGGCTTTTGGAGGGTCTGAGGAAAGCAAGACACATGAACCTTCAGTGGAGGGATCCATAAAGAATCGTTTTGAGGCCCAAAACCTTTCCACTGTGGTTACTGCAATGAAGAGTGAATCTGTGGCCAATTGTGATTGGGTCACACTACCTGAGACAGCCATGGAATGTAACACTACAGCAATGTATGAAAAGAAGAGCGACAAAGACACAAGCATGCAGGTGGAGAGCAGTGAAGAAGTAGAATCACAGACCTTCAGTGGATATGTCAATAAAAGCCTTAAAAAAGTTGTTGAGTCAGACAAGTTTCATGAAGCAGGTGAATGGCAGAGAGTGGAAAAGAGCAAGACAGTTGCGGGCAGAACAAATCTAATTTGTGTTGACAAAGATTTGTTAAGGGAAGTTAAAGTTGAAAAAATAGATAAAACATCACCAAAAGTATCTCTTCATAATATGGATGAAGTGTCCATGGGTGATAACAATAATCAGTTAGATATCAAAAACGATTCTTTATCTTTATTAACTACTGTCAGTAATTTTTTTAGCAGTCCATCTCCCAATAACAATTCACAGAGTCCTGTGTCCCCCAATTCATCTCCACTGACCTCAAGATTACCAAGTCCTCAATTAAATCACAGGATTCTCCCATTACCTATATCAGATGCAGAAGATGACAATTCAAGGTTGAATTTACCCAAGGAGAGTTATAACACACCTAAAGAGGTGCCAGTGGAACATACAGACTGCTGCATATTGATAGAACAAAATGACGCCAGCTCAAATAGTTTGTTGCAAAATCAGCAACCAAACTGGGAGGAACAAAAGGCACCTGAGTTTCTGTTACTATCAGGTTAGTTAAAACACCATTTTAAATTTATCTATTTAAAATATTGTAAGCTAATTATTGTAAGCGTTACTTTATTTTGTAAAGGTAAGAATTGGAATGTAATAATAATAATAATAATAATCCTTGCATTTGATATAGCGCTTTTCACGTCGGGAGGACGTCCCAAAGCGCTTCACAGAACACACTGTAAAGTGAATTGACTGTATATTTGTGGGCGAACGCGGCAGCCAATTGCGCACAGCAATGTCCCACAAACAGTCGTAGATTGAAAATGACCAATTTAATTATTGTTTTTTTTTAGTTTTGGAAGGATTATTATTAGGCGTGTGGAGTAAGGAAACTTGCCCAAGGTTTCGCCCTGCCTGGAATTGAACTCAGGTCTCTCACTTGCAAAGCGAGTGCTCTAACCACTGAGCTACAGGACTCCATGTAGGTGGAATTAGCAGATTGCAGACACATGTTATCATCACTCATCTGCAGCCTGACATCAATTCTTCATGCAATGTGTGATCCTATAATAGATGTGACCAGTTCTGCATCATAGTTCTCGGCTATATGATGATTGAACATGATTGAAATATAAGTTTGTAATCAGTATTTACACTGTGGATCTTGTGTCTTCCCAAGAGTTTGGAGAGCAAAAAATGTATATTTTTGAACTTCACTTTTATCTAAAGCACCAAACGAATGTAACTTTACAATGAAACTTGATTTGTATTTAGTGTCCAGATTTGTACTTTGTCTCATGAATGCACCAAATTAGGTTAACAATTCAGATTGAAAGATAGTTATGACTGCCCTGTATACATGTATGTTGCTATCGAACCCCGAGAAAGCTTGATTTATGTTTCAGTTTTACATTATTTGAGGTTTAAGTACACTGCAGCATCCCTGTGAAGCTAATGTCAGTGAATATGCGTGATTCAGGGGGGATGAATGTCTTGTGATGACTTCTTGCATTTTATAAATGTTGCACTTGGAAAACTTCACATAGCGGAACAAAGATCTCTTTCATAGTTATAAATTGGAGAAAACTGGGGACGTTCTGTCTTGAGTGAGCTTTTGTGCTCAATGTGGGATGATACAATGCCATCTTCACCTGTGTCAATATTTTTCCTGATGGATTATCATATATAACCTCAAAGCATTTCCTTTTGCGTTCCATCAATCATTTTATACATGAGCTTTTTTCATCTTTGCCTTTCACAGCAGTGGCTTTACTGCATAACTATTGCCAACTGTCTAATACCATCTTAAATATATTGAAAAATATCTTAATTGGCAAGAATGAACAGCAAGAAGAGCCCTGTTGGGGTTCTGTTCCATCCACATTTCAGGAACACATGATATGCAGGTCAAAAATAATCAACGATGGACAGTCAAGTGAAGGAAATTGAGATAAAGGAGTGGTGAATTAAATGCTTCATGCTGATTCCTGATTAACGGGTTCACATTCAGTCAGAGAGTAAAGAGCACCAAGTGCAGGTTGAATAAAGGCTCCATAATTTAATTTCGGGTTAAATTTCTCCAGAGGATTTAACTCTCTGAATTGTGAAACATGTTTTCCTGCTGCTGGTGCGTTGGGTGTTTTCATGGCTGGACAAACAGAGTGAGTAAGAGGCTGAATTTGTGTCAATTACTCAGAAATGGAATACTTGTGGTGCATTACAGGCATACCATACATCATGCACATTAACATGGTTTAAGAAATTATGGATGTATTTTGCAGTCAGGCCTCAAATGTGGTCAGTCTATTGGAAGGAATGTAATCTAACGAGGAAATGATTGAAGTGGAAGTTTTAGAAGAACGAAGAAAGGAACTAACACTCTAAAAATAATTCAGGATCCGTGTTATGCGAGCAGTGGAGAAGAGTTTGTATTGGTGTGAATAGAAGATGAATGCAAATCGAAAGAGATTGAGAATGACAAAATTTAAAGCCAGGAGCTAGCACTGAATCAACCATGTGCATTTCAGCAAGCAGAATAATTCGGGAAAGGAATAGCGAACCTGTTGGGCACACGCATGGGCACTATGGTAGTGCGGGTCACAGACTGCTCTATAACCAAAAGAAGGTTCAAGATTGCAGTGCTGGAAAGAAATCCACACATGTATGCTGAATTTACACTACTCACAACAATAACAGTAGCTTGAATTTACTTAAATAGGGCCCTTCATGCAGGATGGTGTCTTGAAGCATAATTGCAATAATACACACAGTTCAATATAACGTGGGATAATTCAGGCATTTAGCTGCCGCTGGTTTCATGAATAATGTGCTGTCGTCCCTAATCTCCAAAACCCACTAAGGTCCGAGAAATTTGTCACTTGGAACCAGTTTCTTTCTTCTGCTGTGGATCAATCTTGTCCACTATGGGTGACTGGTGCATCTCAGATTTATTTCACTTGAGATGATTACAAATAGCAGAGAGAATAGCCTTTCATCCCATCAGTCTGAGCTGGGTTTGAACTGAAGACCCAGAAGTGTGAAGACTACAAATTCTTTGTGTTGGTTCATCCCTCACTTCCTATTCCTATGGAGCAAAATTGGATGCTGCCAACATCTATTTCACTTGTGATTTGCACAGCGCATAAGGTTCTGTAAAGTATATGAATACAGGTGAGCTATTAACAAAGTCTTTCTTAGTAACATTGATTGCTCACTTGCAGTTTTCTGCCATGGGCCAGTGAGCGATTACTTAGTTTGGATGATGTTCATCTGTATCCTTTGACATGTTACTTGGTCTTAAACTAGAGCAGAGCAAGATCGTCACCCAGAAATATTCTGGGATGAGAGTCATGAATGAATGAACTGATAGTGAGACATCTAGGCTTGTAGTGGGTAGTAGGTGACCAATAGATAGAAGCAAGAGGAACAGCTGAACCTGATTTTAAAAAAGAAAATTAACTAAACAACCAATTGCATTATTGACATTGAAATGTCAGTGTTAAAAATCCTGGATATGCCCTGCCAGTCAAGCAATGTCAGTAAAAGTTAACATTTTGGTTGTGATCCTCATCAGAAGTCACTTGGTTACCTTTCAGGTGCTGGTTGTATATTTTCTGTGTATATGACCTATTGAGGCAGGAGACAAAGCACACTAAAAGTGAGGTAGTTTTGGAGCTCAGTCTATTCAGTGGCTGAGATGACCTTCAGTACTGGTAGGTTTTCAGTGCATTTACTTTTGCAGCAACTTGGCACTGCTCCAGAGCTTGCCACTAAAATGATAAGTTCACAGCTGCATGTTCAAATGAAGGACTAGGTTACTTATTACAGTAATGAAATATCCAGCATGAGTGCTTTGATAAAGAACTATGAATATTTAGTTACATCCTTTGTCTACAGGAAAGGGATATCACTGGAATAAAGGTGATCAAATTCAATGAGTGTAAAATAATAGTGCAGACTTTAAAAATAAACAAATAAACAAATAAGCAAATAAACAAATAAGAAGAAATCCCATTAAAAGAAAAAGGAGCAATATGATGCTGATATAGAATTTCGTTTGTTACCCTCTGAGGTGCACACTTTTTTGTGTGAATTTTACATAATGGTGAGGACATTTACATAACCAAAACACTTTCATATCTCGCTTGTGATAGCAATTCACACTTTATTCCAATATCCTGCTGGCAATGATTTGATATTTTAATTCAAAGAAAAAAAAGTACTGATTAACTGGTTAGAAAAAATAGGGGGAGGTAGACAGACAATAGAAAATGCCAGGGGATTAAAACTGAGGAATCAAACCATTGGAGTCAGACCCACAGCAAGACTGGATTTTGAACAATGCTTCTTAAGTGGGGGAAGGAAATAGACTTTTTTTTAAAAAAAAGAAATGATGTAATTCAGTCTATATCTATTATTCTCCCTTTTTTTTAAATTATAGAGTCAAATCTGCCTCACTTTACCAAAATTACTTGGCATCATTCACATAGGTCTTTAGTCACCACTGTTAGTTTAGACATCATTGAGAAAACAAAAAACATTGAGCCATTGGCCACAGGAACATTTGTGGAGTCCTGTAGCTCAGTGGTTAGAGCACTCGCTTTGCAAGTGAGAGACCTGAGTTCAATTCCAGGCAGAGGGCAAAACCTTGGGCAAGTTTCCTTACTCCACACGCCTAATAATAATCCCTTCAAAAACCAAAAACAATAATTAATTGGTCATTTTCAATCTACGACTGTTTGTGGGACATTGCTGTGTGCAATTGACTGCCGCGTTCGCCCACAAATATACAGTCAATTCACTTTGCAGTATGTTCTGTGAAGCGCTTTGGGACGTCCTCCCGACGTGAAAAGCGCTATATCAAATGCAAGGATTATTATTATTATTATTAAGTCATTGTACTCTTTTACTGATCATTTATTTATAGACATTATTCATGAGTTGTAACATTATTTCCAAAGAGACGTTTCATACCATTTAAATCAATTAGAACTAGAATTTGCTTTAATTGCTACCTCAAGACATCTTTTAAATGATTAACTCTGATTGTGTGCATTTTTTGTGGTCAGTATGGTTGTGGATCAATAATTTACTTCAGGAGTATCTACCCTTAATCTGCTCAAGAAAAGATACAGCTGGAAGTTTCTGCCTTATAGAAGGTAAAACATTGTGCGGAATTGGCTGCCGCATTTCGCCCACAAAATATACAGTCACTACACTTTACAGTGTATTCTGTGAGGCGCTTTGAGACGTCTCAATGACATGATAAGGCGATATATCAAATGCAAGGATTATTATTATTGCATGCAAGAAATATTAAATAATTTGTCCTACTCAGGGATGACCTATTATGCCAAGGAAGTTTTCCCTCGGGTTGTGAACTAATCCCTAAATTCTATGTCAATAGGATTTATTTTCAATGTGATATTTTTCTTCATACATTATATTTATTTCCTCAAAATTAATTTTGTGAAATGAAATGAAGTTCTTTTTTCCCCCGAACTTGACTGAAGAATTATTGTGAATTCCCAATCTATTGTGAGCTTCCCAGCATGTGGCTATGGTATTGTGTTAATGATCTTCCTTTGCAGAGACATTCCTGAACAAAATACACAGCCAGTACACTTTACAGTACATTCCGTAAAGTGCTTTGAGACATTCTCCCAACATGAAAGACGCTACATCAAATGTAAGGATTATTATTATTAAATCAGTAAAGTATATGCTTGATTTAACTAATCCTATTGAGTATAACTAGGGCGTATCAAGGATGATCCTACGTTAACCTGAGAATAACAAGGCTGATTCTCTTCAGTAGAAGGCAGCTATTGCTCGGGAGTTCGCTTACTCTAGGATTGAGATTGCGGTTGCAGTTGTTGGCCATTGTTGCGGTTGGGCAGGTGAGGAGCCAAAAGATGAAAGAGGTAGAATGGGTCTTAATGGCGTTTTAGTTACTGCTGGGGTTGTTAGAGTAGAAAGTAGAATGTAATTTTTGAGATTGTCCACCAGAGTGCGCTGATCCTCAAGTTACATCAATACTAGAGTTTAACCCTAGTTTCATTTTTACGCCAATCTTTTGAAAGAAGTTTGCCACTTAGTGCTTCAACTATGAATTTTTTTTTACTGTGATCGGATGGAGCTCCTTTCGTGTGGATCTCTTACAGCTGCTAAAGAGAAGAAATATTCATCAGTATAAGATTTCATTCAAAATGCAAGTCTTTGAGATGAAAAGAACAATACTAAACAACGATACCATCCAATCCCCTGTCTCACTCAGTGACAGATCCATCCTGCCTTCTGTTAAAATCTGTTATTGCCTTAGAATTAAGAAATGAAGTTACAAAAATCTAGAGTTGAAATGTTTTGCTTTAAATCAACAGCAGGCAATTTATTTCATTGGATTATTTCACACACGCTTTGCTGCAACAAAACATTTGGTTGTTACTTATTACGGATAAGAGCCACACAGCAGGGAAGCAGAAATAAATGCCATTCATCCCCTCGAATATTGCAATTACTGTAGAAAGAATTTTAAATTAGGAATTTCAATTTGTTTTGGCTTAAACCTTGTTTAGCTTTTTGACTTTGATGTTAATTGTTTGCAGGTTTGAGTTTTTTCAAACTTTTTTTATGTTCTTGGTTCTACCTAGCATTCACACCTCAGCTGCTGAGAGACGTGTCCACACATTGCTCTCATATTAGCTCCTGAACATGGAAAGAGCAGAAAAATAGGCGTTTTTCACTCATTGGGAGAAAGAGTGCATACAGTGTCATACCCAAATCACTGCCTGATTTCAAAATGTGTTTATTTAATATGTCCCAAGAACTGTTTTCCACATCACACCCACACTTTCCTAATGACTTACTAACTGTGTGGGTGGAATTGGGCATTAATAATTCTAATGCCTTTTTCCTCAGGAGGGCATTTCAAAGGACATCACAGGATTTACTGGAAGGTGCAGTAACTTTGACCATGCGATCTTTAGATTCCACCTGATGGGACATAGGTATTAGCATTGAAAGTAATAATACTTTATATGTTGGAAGAAGTGCTATGGATGGAGTTTGATTCTGCTTTTGCTGGCTTTGCGTATATAATTTTGGACATTGTAGTGTGACATTTATTGACATATGGCTGAATATGTGAACTGCATTCCTTGTGTCCTTTTGGCATGTACAAACTGTTACTGACATGTTGGCACCAGAATGCAGGGCAGGAGGGAATGCATAGCCACACAAGCTGCAGCTAGTTAAATGGTCTTATTCACCTCTTTAATAATGAATCATTTAAGAAATCACTCAAAAACAGCTTCCAGTTTCTTTGCACTCCATGCCATATGGCCTACAGGCTGTTTTTTTTTTGCTGGCTGCAACTGGAAATGGCACAATAGCTCCATAGCTGTGTCTCTTTCAAGGTGGTCTTATATATACCAACAGGCTGGTGCCCATGTATCATCAAAGAAATATTACAATCTTATTGCAGTCCTGGAGACAAATAATTCAATTTATGTTTGTGGTCTCTTTGTCTACCAGCGGCACAGTAGAATCCTGTACATGAGCACTTTGAATGTTGCTAAATACGCTTAACTTTATTACAGCATTTACGGATACCTGCTTAAAACTTGCGTTACTAGTGGGATTATGATTCCAAAGTACTCACACCATGAAAATTAATTTCACTCTTCCCACTGTACACGTTTGAAGCATGTAACTCAGGAACTGAAAGCTGATCCATTTAGTATAAACATACAGTGCTCTAGCATGCATCCTATTATAGTTGAGTTCAGAATATATTGCATTTCTAAGATAATAATAGCAGTAAAAATAGCTTGAAGGCAAACCTTTTATCAGGCTTCCTGCTATTTCTGATATTTGATGGTAATGAAAATAGACGTAATCTAGTTCAGATGCACACATTCAAAATAAAATTGGACATATTTTAGATGTTCCTTTATGCTGCGAAAAGCTTGTATGGTATTATAGCCTGACTGCTCACACAGATGGAGATGTCAGTCATTTTAAAGTCAGCAGGAAATAGTCCTTCATCAAACTATTAAATGTTGTTCAGGAAGACTTTCCAAGTGTGTGCCAGTAAACCACAGGCAAAGCTTCCTTTGCTCCTTTAATGATACTAATAAACCTACTTCATGTCCTCCGCCCCTCCATCAGTAGGTGAGCTTTCAGCCATTCTGTCCCCTCTCTCTTGAACTTCATTCCTCCAACTTGCTCCCTCTCTACCCTTGTTCAGCTTCCATCTCAAAATCTACCTCTTTGACCATGCATTCTATCATCTTTCCTCATCCTACCCCCAGCTCAGGTGCCCAGCCAGCAGTGTCAAGCGCTTTCAGACATCCTTCCAAGAAAAGGCACAATTATAAATTGTATTCTAAATCATCTTCTTCCTGTACTTAACTTATTCTGGCCTGAGCTTGGTGGGGGGAGTGGGAGAAGAGCACGAATGGTAAAGTTTTAGCAGGTGATGAATAATCATGATTAATATTCCTCCAATATTGTCTGACCGACTTATCTTCCCAAGGTTAATAGAAAACTGAATGATGAGGAGAGCAAACTGTACCAGTCCCTCATTCTTGGAAACTAATAAGAGTGGTTGATTCATAATCGCTTAATGAATGAATTTAAAAGTAAAAAAAATGAAATGTAGCTCTTGGATTTCATTGACCGACCTTATTATTTTACAAACTGATGATGTTCTTTTCAGAGAAGACATCCTTGATGCAGATGTGCACTGACCAGTCAGAAAGTGGATCTTCTACTGAAAAGTTCTTGGTAACATCTCGGCCAGAATCCTTGGACCTCGTGCAGTTTACTGTGAACAGAGAGGCAATTGACAGAGAAGATCAGCTAACGTGTTGGCTGGATGGTAATGTAAGTCATGGCTTATAATGATTTATGGTCTTGAAAAAGGATATTTAAGCACAATGTTACAGATGTTTACAATGGGAACTTCATGTTAGTATATCTCACTGAGCATTCAATTCTCTTACATTAATCAGCAGACTAAAACTTAGTTTTCTTGGCTTAGCATTTAAAAATAAGTGAAAAATTAACGGCTAAGTCTCGCACACATTTTACTTATCTGATTACCAAAATGATGTATAATAATAAATGATAATCATTAATTCTTAGAGTTGATATAGTGCCTTTCACTACAGGAGGACGTCTCAAAACACCTCACATGCTTTACTGTAAAGAGTACAGTTGTGTATTTTTGTATATAAATTAATATATTTTTTGCAAAAGCATTACCACATTTGTGCTGTTTGCAAAATAGTTTTAGTGCAACAACATGCAGCAGGATTGTTATTCAATAGTGAGTAAGCAAAATAAATGTTTTCTTTCTTCCTCCTAGTATTGAAAATATTTCTATTCCATTTACATATTATTGATCAATGACCCCAAGAACATCACCTACAAGGTGATATAGCAGAGGAGCAAATGCAAGGATTATTATTTGTTTTGCTTTGTTGAGGAAAGAAGACCTTTTCATTTACATTCTGGGTTTTCAATTTTTCTTCCAATTATGTCTGATATGCAATGAGGTTGCATTGTTTCCTTTGTGCTAGACTTGACTTGCCACAAGTGAAAAATCTAAATCTGTGGCAGTACTGCTCCCAATTGCCATTTGCATTAGTAACAATGTTGACATTAAAAGGACAAAAAATGCAATTACATTATACCAATTTCTAGGCTTAATAGTTTAGCAATGTTCTGAAGTACAGATATAATTAAGTCATTTTGTAAAACTATGTTTTTAAAATGACCTCTTTTGCTGAATAGATTTTTTTGTTGTTGTCTTTTGTGTATCGAGATCTATGCTCTTAATCAAGAGTTGCTGATACTACGCCCTTGCTTTTTAAACTTAAAAATACTGAGCTGCATGCATCTTATGATATCTTCTACAAAAAATAGTGAAGCACAGGGATTTGGAAAAAGAGTAGGTAAATGGAACTGAAAGTAGCCAGCATGGAACGATGGACTGAATGGCCTTCTTCTGTGCTGTAAATTTCTATAATCCTGTGATAAATGTAACTGGGCTATTTTCATTGACATTGAGGGAATCGTACATGTGTGCACGGTGAATAGAGGAAGGAAATTTACAGTATGCCCTACTTCAAACTTGTATAAGTAAGGTCTCCCCACAAGCAGATGTTGCTCGTGTTGCTGTTGGCCATGCTGCTGGACTTACACCGGATGCTGACTTTTCATTTGGGGAGATGGGACTAGAGAACTGTGTTCTGGACTTCCTCACACTGGCCAGAATCCCATCTCGTGTGGTCTGAATGGAGATTAGTGATGGCTTATTCTCATGTTCAAACAGCTGCTTTTTCAAAGCAGGCACATTGCTGACCTCCTCAGTTAGGGATTTCTGCCTTCAGGGCACCTTCCCTGTGCCAGCTGGACCCACTTCACCTTTTACCACTGCTTCACCCACAAAGGATACAGTCAATTGACTTTACAAAATATTGTGTGAAGTACTTTGAGACGTCTCAACGACGTGATAAGGTACTATATCAAATGCAAGGATTATTATTGTTATTATTCATAACCAGTGCAAATACTAAATCTTTCAGTGACTGGCTGACTTGTGTCCTCCAAGTAGGGGTGCAGTAGTTATTTTTTTCCTCATTCTCCAGAAAGCAGATGTTTCATTATTGTTTCAGAGGCACACATGCCCATTTTGAATATGTACTGGTAACCTGCCCTGGCACAACTACACTGTTCTTATTACGATTTACGATGATGTGCTTCTGCACAATTATTCTTTATGACTATATGGTGCTATTGATGCATTGAAAGTATCTACCATAAGTGCTTTCTTCTCTCCATGCCTGCTTCTCTCTTACCTTTCAAACTCTATCTGCTGAACAAGTACACAGTATGCCTCTATTTTCAGGCCTGGCAGTTAGAAACAAGTACAATACAATACAAAGAATAGAATGTAAATTAATATAGTGCCTTTCATGTCAGGACGATGTCTCAAAGCATTTGATACTGGGGGCTGGGTACCAGAGCTTGGGGCAAGAGCCAAAGGAAGTGGAGAGGTGAAAGATGACCAAAAGTGTGGTCAAAGAGATACGCCTTGAGCAGAAAAAAAGTACAATTAGTAGAAATTAGAAAGAAATATGCAGAGAGAAAATATAGAAGAAAAACTATGTAGAAACACATGCTAACAATATGAATAAACTTCTATTTAACTTAAAATTATATTTTGTATTTATTTTGGTAGGTTAGGTTTCGTAGTAAATTACTAGTTATTATGAAATTTGAGAAACTTTATTACAACTGTACAATACGGTGTTATTATTTCTTCAATGTTTCCATAGGCTTGTTGGCAGTCTAAAGATTAATTAAAGGAAGAGAGATTTGCCCAGAGTATTTAAACAAACAGTTGTACCCTTTAAAGCTTATTTTATCACAATCACTGTGGATGCTTCTGTGTATTTTACAATGCACGGTTTCTTTGTGTCTTTTCTAATTGAATGCACACTCCACCTCACCAAGCCAGTCAGGAACCTAGGCATCTTATTCGACCCTCTACTGTCCATTCTCCCCTACATCTGTGCCATGACCTGCTCTGCCTTCCCCCACCTCTGCCACATTGCCCGACTCCGCCAATGCCTCACCTCTCAGACCGCCGAAACCCTCATACAGATTATCCAGAACTCTGCAGCTTGTGTCTTCTCCCACACCAGGCTCTGTGACCCCATCACATCCACCCTCGCCCGGCTTCACTGACTCCCTATCCCTCAGGGGATCGAGTTCAAAATTCTCGTCCTCACCTTCAAGGCCTTCCATGGCCTTGCTCCCTCCTAACTCTCCGACCTGTTTATAACCCCTTATCAACTTGTCCGCTCCCTCCGCTCAGCAGGTTCCAGCCTGCTCCATGTTCCTTGCCTGGACAGCCTCACCATTGACAGTCAGGCCTTCAGCCTCTCTGACCCCACTCTCTGGAACTCCATCCCACATTCCCTTCATCTCGCTCCCCCACTTGCCTCCTTCAAGGCACGTTTTAAGACCTTCCTCTTTGACTGTGCCCTCAGCCATCTTCCTACCCTCTCTGCCCTCTCCCCCCACCACCACCCAGGTCCCAATCTCTCACTGTTCAGAGCCTTGGGACATCCTCCCAACTTGAAAGGCGCTTTACAAATGTAATTTTGTATTGTATTGTAATCATACACAAGCTGACTGTTCTGAAACACCCTGACATTATGTAAATCTGACTGGCATTTCTCTTCTGTCAAAGCATATAATAAACAGCGAATTATGCACCCCACCCCAGAATGGTATGTAATGTTGTAATCTGTATCACAAACATTGTGGTATAAACTTGTAATGGAAAGAATTGTATGTCTGGCCAAGTCGTGAATGTTGGAATGTATTTATGGGCATTCTTTTTAAAAAAAACCCTGAACATATTTGTCTGCATCAGTGAATCATGTGAAATCTACAGTGAACACCATTGGTGGGTGGGCCTTCAATCATTCTGCCTCTGCTCTCTAGACATCTAACCTGAAGTCTCTCCACCTTGCCCCCTCCCTTTACACCTGTACAACTTTAAAATCCACCTTAAAACCACTCTCACTGATTGTGCTTTTGGCCACTTTTCCTGTCCCTCTCTCCAGCTTCCCCCCACCCACCCCAGCCCAGAAAAGGCAGTTATGTGAAGCGCTTTTAGACACCATTTCGATGTGAAAGGTGCCATATAAATGTAAATTCATGTTACATATATGAAGAATCTGTTGCATTTATACTTACCTCTTAGGCAAAGATTTAAAATGTTCTTTTAAACATTTTTAAAGGTGCAAATGTAAGCAATGAAATGCTGCTTTTCTACATGCTCATATTTTCTTCCAAGAAATTACTGTAGGAAGGTTATAAATTATGTCATTTTTATTTGAATTGGGATGGTGACTCATCTAAAATGGAATGCATATTCCCTTGGTAACACACCCACAGCACCAACCTCAGCAGGTTACCCAATTTAACACAATGCCTTCAATTCCTGTAACTGAGCAAACAATGAATACCACTGGGTTAAAACAGATGCTGTCATTTTTTAAAAAATAGGTGTGGCTCATTAAATGTCACTGCTGGTGTATTTTTTTGTGTACCATTGCTGCAGTGTAATAATATATCAATAAATATAATAATTATTTGGTCAATCAATCCACAACTGTTTGTGGGACACTGCTATGTGCAATTGGCTGCCGTGTTTTGCTGACAAAATATACAGTCAATTCACTTTGCAGTATTTTCTGTGAAGCGCTTTGAAACATCTCGAAGACATGATAAGTCGCTATATCAAATGCAAGGATTATTATTATATTATTATTAGTGTTTTCTATTGAATCGCAGGAGGCATTCACATACAAAATGCAGTCATTACACTTTACAATATATGCTGTGAAGTGCTTTGAGACAATCTCTTGAAATGATAGGCACTATATCAAATGCAAAGATTTATTATTTATTATAGTAATAATACCAGTATTTTGTTGCTCTCATCGGTTGAGGTCCTGAATACTTTATTGTGAATTGCAGAGTTTGCAGTTTTGTAATAATAATAATAATTCTTGCATTTGATATAGCGCTTTTCATGTTTTCTTGACGTCTCAAAGCTCTTCACAGAATAGACTGTAAAGTGAATTAACCATATATTTGTATCTGCAATATGCTAGTCTTAGCCTGTGATACATTTTATCTTAAAAGATTTAAGATTGTGGAAAATTCTTAAATTCACTCCAACCTTGGTACCTGGCTTGTCTCAATTCTTAAAAGGAAACTGGCTTTCAAATTAAAACCTGAATTTAATTTTGTTTCCATTGTTCTTCATAATTTGAATTTAAAGACTAACCGAGGTAGAA